AGGGAATGGACTGACTATTCTTGGGGGGGAAAGGGGAATGGGAGATGCGGGAAGAGACTGGACAAAAATCGTGCACCTATGGATGAGGACAGTGGGTGGGGAGTGAGGGGGGAGGGTGGGGCGGGAACTGGGAAGAGGGGAGTTATGGGGGGGAAAAAATGAGGAACAAATGTAACCTGAACAATAAAGATTTAATAAAAAAAAAAAAGAAAGTTAGAAATAAGATTTGGGGTAATCTGTAAAGTGGTGTTTTTGAAGCTGTAGAAAGTTGATAAAATTGCCACAAATAAGAGTATAGACATTAGGAATTTTAATATTTCAGTTTCAAGAGCAAGGATATGAAAAGGAAAATGTGCAGGAAAGAGGAGAAATATTGTTAGGGAGTCATAAAAGCCAAAGGATAGGTGTTCAAGAACGATGCTGGTAGTGTAAAAAGCTGCAGAACAGCAAAGGATGAGGATTTAGAAAAAGGCTTTGGTTTTGGCATTTAAGAGATCAATGATTACCTCTCTGTTAAAGTAGTTTTAGCCAAGTATTCAACTTAAAAACCCAACTGCAAAAAGTTACGGTACGAAAGTTTGTTTAGTAAGGAAAAAGAGGAACAATTGTGGATTTTCAAAGAGTGTGTGAAAAGTTGTTAACTGGGTCTGAAAATTTCACTCACATAAGAATCACCAGGGCTTGTTAAAATGCAGATTGCTGGGCCTCACTCCTAGAAATTCCAGTTCAGTAGGTTTTGGGATGGGGCCGCACAATATTATTTATATCAAATACTCAGGCAATGGTGATATTGGTGGTCCACACTCTGATAGCCACTGGTTAGGGTTGAGGAAATTTTTTTTTTGTCTCAAGAATTCCTAGCCTTGAACATTTTCAATAATAAAAGAAGAAAGAGCAAATAGAGAGGGAGAGATTTGAGATGCCAAAGACAGTGGTAGGAATAAAACTGCTGGATTACTGCCTTGCAGGAAATGAGAGGTGTCAAGAGCATCAATGAAGGGAAGTAGGAGAGGATGAGCGAGGATATGGAATAGGTTTTTGTAGGAGGAGAGAGGGGAGGATGAGGGAGCTCCTGTTGAATAACTGTGGTAAAATCAGAGAAGTGAGAGGCAATAGCTGATGAGAGTGAGGGGCAGGGTGACTTGCAAAGAGTAGAAAAGAGTTAGAGTAGCTGCTGCAGGGAATTCAATGGGGAGTGAGCAAATGAATGAAAGGATAGCAGTGGGAGTCCAGCTAAAGTTAGAATGGCTTGAATTTGAACAGTTAGAAGCCTAAGATTTAAAAGGGAACAATACATTGAAAGACATAGATGGAATTTAAAATCTACATATCTCCTTTTCCCCTAGAACTGTGCATATTGGGGTATGATATGTTAAGCGTTGGCACGTGCTTATATTTTATGAGGTGTTTTGAGTGTTTCTTTTTTTAAATATTTAATTAGTAAAAGTTCATTGTTCATTTAAGAATCTGACTTTAACGTTACTCCTTGGGTTTTGACAGTTTTTTCTCGCTCCAGTGGTCCCACATCGGATTGAATGCAAAAGAGAATTTATTTTGTAGAAGGTCATTTTATATAGTTTCCTGAAAACCAAAACAAAAAACTCCCCCCCCCCATACCATATTCCACTGAGTGGGGTATATCTATAGGTTTTAGCCAGTTAAATTCTTGATTATGTGAATGTTTATATTTCACATTTATTGCCTTGCCCAATTAATTTCCTTTTAGTGTTTATCTAAAAATGAACCTAAGAGGGCTCCTAAGAAGTACTGATTAGAGGCCATATTACAGGTTTTAACCTCAGTTGGCTGCCGGTTTCAAATAATTCTATTAATTACCTTGGGTTTTGCTCGAATGCCCATTCTGAAAACAAGCTCCTTCAAATGGTTCTGGATATTTTGTAATCCCACATAAGATTGCCAGTGTATTTATTTTTAATTAGAAGAGTATCTGTATTTAATTGACAATGCCAAACAGTGGAATATTTTGCCAAAAGTCACAAATGAGCACAACTCTCCATCCAAATTGAGTATGAATTAGGAGAAAATGTCAATTGCTAATTAAATCCCTGAAGATTACAATATTTCAGTGTATGAGAAGCTACACTTAGGCCCCAAATCACTCTGCTGGAATTGTGGCATCTAGAATTTCTTGTTTTGATGAGACATGATATCAACTTGTACTAATTTTGTTCTTATTTGCTGGGGTGCTTTGCTCTTATCTGGAAATAATTCACAAACCTTGAAGTTCTAGAGAAGTGCCTCTCTCCACTTATTTTTTATATTGCTTCATGCAATTCTAACTTACAGAGTGTTGATACACAAGGCTTCCGCTGGCTTTGTAGAAACCTACTCTTATTTAGAAATATGTTTGGCTTATGGACGATATTGAAGTTAGAAGAGAGATAAACAAATTCTCCATGTATAATATGATTGTCTGAATCTCAGAGCATATATACAAATAAAAGTAGAAATAGCAGTAATAGAAATAACATAATCAAAATGTGAAGAAAACCCAAGGAGGCAACACTTGGCCTCTTAGATCTAAATGACTACATTTTTAAATTACAAGTATACCTTCAGACAATTACCAAGTCTATTTTGTAGAAGACTGCAAATGGGAGGGAATTCAAATAATGAAACCAAGGGTCTTTTGTGTGCTGAATGCGTGAGCTTTAACATTCAATGACCAATTGCTAACTTTAGTCTCTCATATTTCTACTAGAATTTGAACTTTAATCTCTGGTGTTAATTAAAATATTACTACATCTCTGATAGATCATGTTAAATATATAAGACATCTAATCCTAGCCTTTTCTAAAGTTGTCAAAGTACATTTGTTTCTCAGTAGAACAAATAATGATTGCAGCCAGAAATATTCTACCTTTCCTTTTTATATTTCAGAATTTCTTAAATTTGAAACATCAAAACATCTGTTTAATGTCCTATTTCTGAAAACTCCAAATCCCTCTGCAAATAAAAAGGATGTGATCATGTGAGCACAGCAATATACTGTTTTTTTAATGCAATTAATTTCAAGAAAAACAACAACAAACTTTTTTCTTTAAAGTCAAACTTATTCACCTGGAAATTACAATAATAATAAATTATCAGAGGTAAGTTGCCTCAACACATAGCCTGATATCCATTACTGCAAAACACCTGTTGAACACAATTTGGGATTTATCTTTAAAAAACTGGTAAATACAAACATTGCTCAGAGCTTTTCTATTCTCTTTTGAAAACCTCTACTTTTTGTTGAAGTTTTTCCTGCCTCTGCTATCTCTTCTCAATTGTGCCTTTTTTGCTCCTTTTTATTATCTTCCCACAATAGTTGCAAACTAGTAAAGACGATTTAATACCTTTCAAAAGATTTTTTTTGTTCCTGGCTGTATGCATTGCAGTCAGTTATGTTGGAGTTTCTTACCATTCTGTTCCAAAAGCAATCATCATTACAATTTCTTTGTATTCGACTCCACACAACTAAGAATTGAAACAGTATGAAGGGTCTTAAAGGGTAGTTCTTACTATTTGGTTAATGAAATGGCAAAAGGTGGACATATGTTGGAGAGAGAGGCAGAAAAAGCCAATTTTAATATTGATGTCTTATTAAGGGAGAAAAAAAACACCCTCCTCACTCCTCTTTGATACTACTAAGTACAAGAAGAGCTGAATAAAATTTAATATTTTTTCTAAAATTATTTACATTCCAGAAAGATACTGGAGAAATTGCTTTATCTCTATCGCTGGTAATGTTTTGTAAAGAAATGAAGCATGGATTTCACTTTCTGAGTAACAGCTTCTAGAGGAATGAAGGACTGGAAAGGAAACAACTTTATTGCGGAGAATCAAAGTTGGGCAAGGAGTATTAAAACAAATTTGCTACAGTGATCTAACCACCATATGCCATGTGAAAAAGTCCATGCCTTTTCCCTGGAATGTACCTTTCCTAGACATTTTGCTTATTATCATCTCTTGTAGTGCTTTCAGGCACTTGACAAGTGAGAGGAATGTTGAGCTCAGGACGAGCGAGGATTTCTAATCACCACGAAAGCCCATAGTCTAGAGAAGAAAACTCAATATTAAAGAGCTCAAATTCTCTCTCTTTTCTCATATTCTGTAGGGAGGGTCTTACGTTATAAGGGAACTTTTCTATCAATTTTAGTTCGGGCAGGGCAATGCTGAAATTAAGGGACGGTGACACAGAAAGCCAACTCTGTGCAGGACAGTGGCGGAAGTGCTGTACAATGAGGTGTCTGTCACCCACAAACCAAGTCTCTCTGCCTGCTTTCCACCGTGTTCACAGGCTCACTGCGTCAGCTGAATGTCAGTGCGTAGGACCGAATTAGCAACCCGCAACACTGATTTTAGTGCGATCTTGGATGCTGGTTCCTCTGTGCGCCGGGAATGGGAGAATTGAACGCCAAGCGCTCTAGATGGGCTGAACTGATTACTTCTGAAGTCACTGGAATCTTTCTCCTGGAAGCTGGGCGAAACCATCTCTTAAATTCCCGCGTTTGAGAATTAAGTGTAAATGGAATTGAAGCTCCCATTTCCCTTTCCGCAATTGAACCGGGGTGCAGGGTGCTGCGGGGTGGTTGGGAGGCACGTTCTAAAGTGCTGCTTTGTGTTCCCACGTCAAGACCCTAGTGGGGCGCGGAGGGGAGGGGTTGGTAGCCTAGGCCACTTTGCGAGTTCTGTGTGAAAACTGTATTCTCTGGTCAGACTGCTAGGCAAGAAGCAGAGGCACCACACCGCCCCCTTCTAAGGTTGCATCCCCATTCCCCCCCCCAACCCTCAAGGGCCTCAGGTAGCTAGGAGGCCGACCCGGGAGTCTCCACCTCCTCGAGGGCGACAGCCACTTGGCGCGCTCGGAAGCCGAGGAGCTGCAGCACATTGGCTGGGGGACGCTGCCAGTCTTGGGAGGGGGTGTGGCAGGGGTGGGGTCTCGGGCCGCTGTGGGTAGGGGTGGTTCACTGCCGGCTGGGTGGTGGGTGAGTTTGAGCGTGAGCGTGAGCCCTGCTACTGTAGACTTGCGAACAGTTCTGAGCGAGCTATAGCGCGCCCGAGAGAGAACGAGAGTGAAAGAGCGAGTGCGAGGGGACGGACCTAGAGGAGACAGGGCGAGAAAACGAGGGCCTGAGGACCTACAGTTTGAGACTGAATGACCATGGCTGTCTCCGCACCTCCGGTGATCTCTGCAACTTCCAGTGGCGCTGGCGTCCCGGGGGGCCTTTTTCGGGCTGAGCCAATGTATTCGACTCCTGGAGAGCCTCCTCGTCTCACCCCCAATATGATCAACAGTTTTGTGGCCAGTAACCACAGTGGCAGCGCAGGGGGTGGCGGGGTCTGTAGTGCCAGCGCAGGCAGCGGCAACACCGAGTGCAGGATGGTCGACATGCATGGGGTGAAGGTGGCTTCGTTCCTGATGGACGGCCAGGAACTGATCTGCCTCCCGCAAGTCTTTGATCTCTTCCTGAAGCACCTGGTGGGAGGGTTGCATACAGTGTACACCAAGCTGAAGAGACTGGACATATCTCCCGTGGTGTGTACTGTGGAACAGGTCCGGATACTCCGTGGGCTGGGGGCCATCCAGCCCGGGGTGAACCGCTGTAAACTCATCACCAGGAAAGACTTCGAAACTTTGTTCACTGATTGCACCAATGCCAGGTGAGAGTCTCGTTTCTCTGCTCGCTCTTCCCCTTTTGCCCTCTTCTGCATGTCTGATCACCCTCATCGGACTTAGAGAGTGAGTCTTAACTAGCTTTCCTCTACTTTTCACGCTATAAGTCTTTGGGGGAAAGAGGACTAGAAGGACTTTAATTAATTGCCCGTTCCTTCTCGTCTGTGCTCAGTGGTAGGGCTTCGGTCTAAGAAAGTCCCGCACAAACTTTAGTTTGCGATTCTCTACTGAAACTTTCCAGCCTTCCGCCCATATCTTGCATGGCTTTTTGGCTGCTTGTGGCTATTTGTTAATTCCTCCATTTGGTTTTCTTTCCTGCTCTTTTGTGGCCAGACGGGTCAGAGAAGTTTTATCCTGAACAGGGGCACAAAGGGCTTTCTGGGATAGAAGGCTGGCTGAGCTGTACACTGGGCTTCTAAGCTGGCAATCCAAAACACAGCATTTGGGGGATGGAGAGGGTCAGAAGTCTAGAATCCATCCCAGAGGGTGATTCGTTTCCCATCCTGTGTGTTTGCTGTGAGAGTGCCTAGGGTGTGTGGTGGTGGTGGTGGTGGTGGTGGTGGTGGTGGTGTGTGTGTGTGGAGAGAGAGAGAGAGAGAGAGAGAGAGAGAGAGAGAGAGAGACTCATGCCAACTAAGCAAAGCTCCCCGTACAGGATGCAAGAAAGTCTATGGATCTTATTTAAAACAAAACAAAACAAACACGACAGATTTCACTTTCCTGGGATCGTCCCTTTTGGGTCATCTGTAAAGGGCAATGTGGTCATAAAACGCTGGGGCTGGGACCCAGTTTGGGGGGTGGGGTAGAAGTCGGCAGGTTTTCTAGAGAGGGTGCTTTTAGCTCTTCCCCCCAGGCAAACAGCTGGGAGGATCCCATTTCCCCAAAGAGAGGATTCCTTAAATTATGCTGGCCAGCTTCTCTGGTTGTAAGTGTACCTCCTTCACATCACAGCTTAGAAGTACATTATAGAACAAATGTCTATTTGTGTATGTGCATAAAACAAACTGTATTCAATATTTCTGAGTTAAAAAAAGAAAAGTAAACTATATTCAAGGTTATTTGACCATTTAAAGATTTGGTTGTTTTAGTGTTTATTCCATCTGTAGTTGACTAATATCTGTTAGGAAAGTACATATTTGGCAGATGTGATTAGCATACAAACCAAGACATCATCATCACCAGGTTAAAGGGAGCAAAGCGTTTTGTTGTAAAGCAGCACTACTGTTGATCATTTTGCAGAAAACTTCTGCAGAGGTAGACTTTCTCACAACACAACTTTAAATCATAAGATCTCTGGGTTTATGAACTAAAACTAATTCAGTTGTCACATCTGTCGTAAAATCCAAATTGCTATGTATAGTTGAAGCACACTGACACCTTGCAGACAAACTGTTGCTGACTTCTCCAATAAGATAATGCTACAGAACTTACAAAGGAACCTTTTCTTTTTCTTTTTCCTTTGAGCACTGTTCTCCTGTGTTCTGGCAATTAAATGGAAACCTGTTCATAGGAGAACTCCTTCTTGATTCATATCTGGGGTTTCCAAACCTGGTTTATTATATTGGATTTTCTTAAGGAAGGTAGGGGGCCTAAAATCACAAAGGATAACTGCTCCCTCAATAAAATAAGTAATTATAGGTCATAAGAGTAGAAAGGACATTTTATTTTGGTCACAAAGCATTTTACTAATACACAAATTCAGAGGGTTACCAAGGACTTCACATGAATGCCTTCTAATTCCTTTGTTGCCATTTGAAAAAGATTGGCATTTAAACAATTGCAGATATGAAAACCCATCTTCTAGCTTTCTCTCTCCCCATCTCTCTTTACTCCTCTCCTTCTTCTCCTCTGCCTCTCTTCACTCTCTTACAAACACCCATATCTAAAGTGGAACATGCATTACACATAGGAAATTCTTCTTTCCTTAATAATTAATTTCCACATCCTTGAGCAAAATCTATTATTTTCATTTAAAAAACAAATATATTAGTATTTTAATGTGATTTGACGCTTTCTTCTGTAAATAGAAACTTTTCTTTAATTTTTATTAGAGCTACTTAGAAGGGAAAAGTGATAAATTACTCTGCATCCAGTGGCAGGTGTTCATATACTATTTTGGGGCCTTGTTATATGATGTGTTTTTAAGTTATTATTTTAATTCAGTTAAGTTTTATTTACTCCTTATCACAGCATCTACAATCTAACTGTTTTTTTTGGCTTAAATTGTTTTTGTGTATATGCATAAAGGTGAAGAGAAATGTTAAAAATGTAAGAAGAAATACATCTGAGTTATGCTTCATGTGCCTCTTATTGAATTTTTTCTTTATGGGTATTTTATTTATGACATGCATTTTATATAATTGTGTTATAAGTGTTATAATATTTAATTGTAAAAAATTATGAAATTCAGTCCATGAATGAAGATGAGGAAAACTAGAAACACAGCTACATTGCAATTTCTAGATACATTTTTTAAAAACTCACACTTTCTGGAAAAATATAATTAATAGTAAAGTAACATTACCAAATTTTATTGATGCAAATGCTCTCATAACCATGTTGTTAAAAACTACAAAATATGATAGTGTTTATAATGGATGCTTTACAACTTTAAGTAACATTATTTACAGAAATGTGTACCTTAAACCATTCCCAACATCTGAGTGATTTAATGAAACTGTAAAATTAGTATTTAGATCAACATAATTTCTAAGACTTTTCTATTCAACAAAAAGAAAAGAAAGGTGAGGGATGGGATATAAACAAATATAGCCCAAGGAAAATAAAATAAGGTAGATGAGACATGAAGCCAGTAAGAGAAGACGGATGTAGGATGTAGCAGAATGATGCCAAGACAGTGAGTGAAAGATGTATCAGAAGAGCTTATAGAGATGCCCAAAACAGATGAGTGACTTGATGTACCAATGGAGAATTGGCTAAAGAGGATTGTCATTCAGGACTCATAATTTCTTAGCATTTCTAGGTAAAAGGTGGGGAAAGTGCAAGGAAAAAGTATATATTCAGTGAGTGGAAAGTCTTACGTACTATTCTTACTTGAAAAAAGATATTCATCTTCATCTCCTGATAGATACATTTCCATAATGTATTTGAAGGCCTATTTGTAATGGTGTCATTTGTAATTTTATTTTCATACATAATAAACATTACTTTCCCTCTCTGTCAGATAGCTGGGCAAGAGTTTAAATCCTGACTTTTAGGATATTTTAATTTGAAAAGCTTCATACACTATTCCAAAAACACATAAAAATGGACCGTTTCCAATTTGATAATTTTCAAAGACTTTAACATATTGGCATTAAGTGGCATTTTTATTTGGCTCAGAGCACATTTTATTAATGTCTACTGAAGAAAAGTGAGTAAGTAAAATACATACATGATTGGTTTTTTTTTGACAGTACTAAAAGTCACAAGAACTCTATCAGTGTCTTATAGTAACTATTTTATTTGATAATTATCAAGATATTCAAAGATGTCTTTCCAGAAAGAAGTTGGAAAATAATACTCTCCTCAGGCACTAGAGAATAGTAAGACTAAAACTCTTTGACTATTCATTGGTTTATTAAATGAGACAAGTTTTACATCATTTCAATTCCAAAGGGCTATACAATATTTTTCCTTGATGCCCTTTTTAGAAACTAATTGCAGAGAAATTATTTTGAGGATTATTAAGAAAATGATGATAAAAAGACCCAAAACAAATGGGAAAAGATGTTATCTTGTCTTGGATCTTTGTTTTTGCAGATAAAGAGCTGTGATTATTTTTTATTTCTTGTATAAGAGAAGTTGGAGTTTTTAATATGAGAGAGAGGAGGCAAATTCAGAAAGCAAATGTCTAAAATCTCACTCTTAAATAATGGATTTTCCTTACTAAATTCTTCAAAGTTTAATGTAGTAGTAAAATATTAAATTAAAAATTGGTATTCAGTGCAAAATCAGCCAACACATTTTAGTGTTATCTCTTTTAATCTTTTTATCTCATTGTCATTAGGGGGAGGGGGAAATCTGTAATACTTTCAATAATAAAGATAAATTAAAAAATAAAAATGTCTAAAAGTAAAAAAAAAAGTACCATTGTCAGATTTCATGATCGGCATTTAATTTCATTTGAGGAACAACTGATTAAATGTTACTTGGTCATTTACATATAGTTAAATGGATGCTTGAAGTAACAAGAATGTATGATTAAGAAAACATTTTAACTCATTTGGAGACATGATTCCACATATATTCAAATGAATAAAATTCAGTTTTTTAAATTAAAGTTTTAAGTGGTTTAATTGTAGTTTATTGTTATTTTGACTGTGTTAACGGAACATAAATGGGTTTCCATGATGGAAAAACTTTATGTGAATTATCAAGACTTTTACAACAATTTAAAACTCCTTTAAAATACTAGAAATACAATTATTGTAAGCACTCAATGAGTTTGGCTTTGCATTCACACTTGATAAATATATTTCACAATCCACACAGAATAACATAATTTACTTTGAAAATTGTTTTTATTCATAGTGAAGTTAAGCAAAATCAAAATTTAAAGAACTTGCATCACTTATCTTGGCTAATATTTTGTATGACTTATATTTTTATTTTCAGAAATGATAAAAAGATCTCAAAAATTAATCCAGGATATAAATACAGACATTTTATTTCATAGGGTAATGAGGGGTAGTGATATTGTCTACTAAAAGCAGTCACATAGTCAACAATGTTGTGTCTTTTATTAGAAGAATTATGTCAGGATTATAATTAAAACAATTTAGTCATATACCAGTGCATAGAACTTCCACATGTACATCTATTTTAAATGTACACTTCTGAATAATCAACATTTTTGTATTTATCTAAATATTTTATCTGGATTTTATATTTGTCCCAATGCTCATTTATTAGGTGGTGGATATTACATTAAAGAAATGATGCATGACATGATGGAGAATATCCTTGGATATTTATGTATGATGTT